GAGGACGTTCTCCCAGAATCCTTGCTCGCTCAGCACGCTTAGCTGAAGCTCCCGCTGCTGCAGGTCTCCCTTGGGAATCCCATCATACACCAACTGCACAAAGAGGATGGGAGGAGGGAAACCGGGAGAGGGCACTTGAACAACCCAGAGGGAGCAAGGATGAGCCAGACACTTAGCATAAGCCTGCGGCAGTTGAATCTGACCGCAGCTAAGACCACCTGGCCCCCCAAGCCCAGAGAACCTAAGGGGCTCTAGGGAGCATACAAAATCCAACCCGGTTTATTGCTCAGAGTTCAGACCAAGCGTCCTCAAACTGCGGCCCACTGAGGACATTTATCTGGCCCGCCGGGTATTTTCGCCCCGTTTGCTTTTTCACTTCAAAATAAGATCTGTGCAGTGTGCACAGGAATTTGTTCATAGTTTTTTTTAAAAACTATAGTCCGGCCCTCCAATGGGTCTGAGAGACAGTGAACTGGCCCCCTGTTTAAAAAGTTTGAGGACCCCTGGTTCAGACAGTTGAGGGTGGGATGGGGTAGAGGGAGGGTCTTGCTCATGGTGGCATAGTGGTTATGTGCTGGGCTTCTAACCGCAAGGTCAGCAGTTCGAAACCACAAGCCAGCACAGTGGGAGAAAGAGAAGGTTTCCAGTCCTGTAAAGAGTGACAGTCTCAGAAATTCACAGAGGCAGTTCGACCCTGTCCTTTAGGGTCACTGTGAGTCAGAACTGACATGATGGCCCCAAGTTTGATTCTGGGTTTGGCTCGTGTTCAGGATCAGCAAGACCGACGTAACCCCCACATACAAGAGGGCAGGGCTCGGGCATCGCCCAGTTGTAGAATCCATCCTAAGGGCCAGTTAGCTTTTTCAGGTAAAGGGCCAGACAGTAAATATTTTTGGTGTGCTGTTCACATGGTCTATGTTAAGGAACCCTGCTGGTGTGTCGGTGTGTGGTGTGGCTAATCGAAAGGTCGGTGGTTCAAACCTGCCAGCTGCTAGACAGGAGCAAGATGAGGCTCTCTGCTCCCATAAATATTTACTGCCTCGGCCACCCTAACTAGGGTCGCTGTGAGTTGGAGCCAGCTGGACAGCAGTGGGTGGGTGTGGTCTCTGTGACAACCACTCAACGTGAAAGCGGCCACAGACCACACATCCAACGAATGGATGGGACCAGGCACCAGAGAAACCTCGGGTATTGAAACAGGCAGACATTGCCAGCCCCGGCCCGGCGCCCACTGGCTTCCCCACGCACCATCTCATTGTAGGTGGGGTTGCAGGTTTTCCGGGCCACTTTGGTCTTCCTCTTGGTGGTTTTCTGGGGGTCAGGAAGGAGGTAAATCTTCACATAGGGGTCAGGGTCGTTCCCGTCCTGGAGCAGGTGCTGCAGAGGGACGGAAAACACGAGAGGCAGAGATTCCCACCCACATTCCTGTGACCACAGCCTGGTCCAGACTCCCTCTGGCCCCTGGCTCCTTCAATGCACATCTAATCGGCCTGCTTCCCTCCTCCCGCCGCCCTCCTCACAGAGTCAGCCGCGGTGTTAGGAGTCCCACTGAGACGTTCAATGTGCACACTTCTTATCCTCACGCCCACGGCGTTCTACACAATTATTGACGTGACGTTCCATGGGCCACAAAACACACATGCTGCCGGGTCCCAGTCAAACCCCATGACTGGTTGGGGATCAAACGATTGCGTCACAGGGTTCTCTTTCTTTCTTTTCAAATAATATTTCATTGTTTGCTGTTGTTTTTAACGTGAAAGCCTACACAGAAAATTAGACTCCCACTTGGCAATTTCTACACAGAGCGTAGTTAAACGTTTCACAAAGTGTCACCAAGGTCTCTTCCTGGGTTCCGGTCATGCCGTCCGTAGGGTTTTCCTGGCTGATCTTCGGAAGCAGATCACCTAGTCCGTCTTAGTCGGAAATGTCCTCTAGCAAGACACAAGCCTTCACAGACAGATGGGCACTTGCCACCCAGGATGGGCACTGTCTGGAAGTCCAACCCAGTCGCCCGCGTGGGAGGTCAAGTTCTACTGTGGACCGCCAGCACGCTCTCTTAACCCGTAGCGGTGAAGAACCGAGCCACAGAGCGGACGCTGCTTGTCCAAGGCAGCAGCTAGTAGGTCATGGGTCTAAACGAATCCCTTTAAAAGTCAGATCGGATCAGGTCAGCCCTCTGCTCCCGCCTCACTGGGAGGAAAAGCCAAAGTCCTGCGGAGAGGCCCACGGGCTCTGGCCTGCTGTCTTCTGTGGTCATCTCTCCTGATTCTCTGCCCTTTGTGTCGTGGCTGTGGGGACAGGCTGCAGGCTCAGGACGTTCAGACTGACTGTGCTCCGGAACAGTTCTCCCTGAGAGGCTTCTGCAAGGCTCTCTCCCTCACCTCTTCCTTCCCATCTCAGCATCTCCTCACCAACAAGGGGCCTCTTCCCCGTTTAGACAAAACTGTCACTTCCTCAACCCTCTGCTTTACTTCAGAGGTCTTACCACACCTGGGCACGCCCATTTTATATAGAGCTATAAAGTGTGTGTGTGTTTCATAGTTCTATTGGCATACATGTCACATACCAGGCAGGCTAATCATTCAGTCACATTCAGAAGAGCTGCGGCATCGTCACTCCGATCCATTCTAGCATGCCCTCCTTGTGCTCGTTCTTATCAGCTCCCCGGCCCCCCATCCTCCTCTGCCAGGCCCCCAGGCAATTATCAATCCTGTCTCTGTCACCAGAGAGCTACCTACTCTGGAGTTCATACACAGAAAATCAGAGAGAACGCCACATGCCATACGTTTCATTTATCTGGCTGGCCGTCTCTCC